AAGGAGACGCGTCCCACGTTGCATGAGCCAAGCTCAACCCGAGAGAGACTCCACCCCTCTCTCTTCTCCGGGGCACACATCCGGGGGGCCCCAGTTGTGCTCTGGGGCTCCCAAAGCTTTGGTGCCTATTTTGAAGGGACACGTGCAGGAGAGCAGTTGCACAAGTCCATGCCACGGAGGGACCCGCTCCTTCGGTGGGCAGGTCTCTTGGATGCCCCCCAATAAACAAACCCCAGTGTCACAGGAAACGTGGAAGTGGAAATTCACATGTAGTATCCCAGCTTATGATTTAGGAGGAAAGAGCATTTCTGGGAATGTATCGGCCAGAAGAAAAGGTTGCGTGTGTGTGTGTGTGTTTTGAATGTTTGCGTCAACTTACCAACACCATGTTTTCTTGAAACTCCTGGGTATAATTTTACATCCATTTGTCAGGAAATGATCTAGAAATCTATCCCTTTTCATTTGCAAGTGAGAAATCAGGAGACTAGTAGAGATTTGCAGTGCTTTTCTTCGTAATTGCTCTGGTATTCCCTTAAGAAAACCCGAAGCCTCTCTACTTTTTCGCTTTTCATATTCTGAGGCCGCTTGGAGTATTGCGCGTAATAATGAGAGGGCGGCAGTTGCGATGGCTAAGCCATTTTGCCCTCGTGTAACAGTTGCTCTCAGATAGCTCGTTCTTGGTGGTTGCCTTTTTGGTGTGCTTGCAAAGATGTGGATCGGAAAAGAAGATGGATAGATGATTGACAGAGATAGATCGATCAATAGATGATTGATAGAAATAGAAGAAAGAGGATGGATGGATGGATGGATGGATGGATGGATGGATTGATAGAAATAGAAGATAGATGATTGATACAGATCGACAGATAGATAGATAGACAGACAGACAGACAGACAGACAGACAGAAGAAACACAGCCTTTTAACCTTTTTTAAAAAATTCAGCTGCTAGCACTAAGAGAATTATTTCTAGTTCTTAGAAGTCCTTATAATTTCAAATCATTTGAATACCCCACAAGCAATTCAAAGCCAGATTTGTTGTTGTTATTTATCCCAACCCATTTCACCAGTGAAGGAGCATGTATGGCTGCATCAAAAGGAGCCAGGAGATTTTCTTGCCGTAACGGAAGGCCCAGTCCTCGGTCTGCCTATCTGGAAATAAGTCCCCTGCTTTGCCCTAAGACTGTTTCCAACTATGTCGGTAGAGGATGACAGATGATTGGAACAGCAAGGGACAGTCTGGAAAAGCTTCCTAACATTGCTGACCAGATTGCAAAAACTAAGAAAGGATGCAAAGGGTGAATATTTTCATTTTTTTTAATCTGTTCAGTCGTGTCCGATTCTTGGAGACTGCCCAGACAAGTCCCTGCAGTTTTCTTGGCGAGGTTTTTCAGAAGCGGCTTGCCCTTGCCTGCTTCCTGGGGCTGAGAGAGAGTGGCTGGCCCAAGGTCCCCCAGCTGGCTTCGTGCCTAAGGCGGGACTAGAACTCACCGCCTCCTGGTTTCTAGCTGGTGCCTTCACCACGACACCAATAGCAGCTAGCTACCAATGGAAGGAGTGCTAAAAGCAAGAAACATAGATTTTAGGGAAGAAGAGACGCACTGAGCCAGTCTTCCCGGAGTTTATTCATCCCAAACATGGATGAAACGCCCCAAGTTTGTGGGAAGTTCCTAAGGTTTAGCTAGACCTCTGAGGTTCCATCCAGACTTCTGCTGTTTCATTGAAGGATGCCTACCCCGATTCTTTGTTTAGAAGCTGAGCAGCTGGATCTGACTTCAGTGGGGCAGCCAGCCAGCCAGCCAGCCTTGGGAGCAAAAATTAGGCTGCAGGGGAAGAACAGATGGGGTGGTGGTGTGCACCCCCCCCCTCCCTTGTTGAGAGGAACTTCTCTTTGGATCCTGCCCTTTGTCATCCAATTAGTGGCTTCAAGGCCAGCAAGACTTAGCATTTTGCAACCTTGGAAACACCGTGTCTGGAATATTTTGATCCCGTTTGCCTCCAGGAACGCACAGCTCTCTTTTTATACTGGCACCCGCTGGTGAGAAATGGAAATTTAAGCAGATTGAATGCCATGCTTTCTGATTGTACAACCCAGTAAGTGTCTTAAGTGAGCTGTGAGTCAGATATAATTAGCCACTGGATGACACCAAAAGCTTTTATCCTCATTCAGGAAACTGGACTGTAATTTAACATCAACTGATTATCACTTAGAGGTGACAGATTTTCATTTTTGCAGTTGTATAGGAGATCACCTCTCCTTTCTAAGAAAAAAAAAAAGCATGAACAAAGAAATATAAATATTAATGTTCTTGGATTTCAGCCGGATTCTGCGTGCCCCCTGCAGGATCATGTCCTGTTGCAATTTATTTCTAAACTTTTGGACAAGACCTGCTTTTTTTCTGAAGCTTAATATTCAGAAATTGAAACTTTTCTTTTTTTTCTATCAGGCCAGTGACTAAATTTTAATCTATGCAGCATCTTGGCCTAAGACGTCTGGAGCTGGTGTCCAGACCTGAAATGTTGGGTTCAACTATTCAGTATTTTCAAAACTGCCATTCAAAGGGAGGTCCAAAATCCAGGGGGAAACAACAAAATTCACACAATCCTAGGAAACAGGAAGGTGGAGCATCTGTGGTGGTATAAAGTAGGAAGTCGCTTTCTTGGCATCTTCACCCTCTTCCACTGGTTATCTGCTTTTTAATGGACCATCAAATTTATAGTAAAACATTCCATTCCTTCTTTCCTGCAGTTTGACACTTTTCCTTAAGGGGAGCATAAAACTCCTCCTTTATGGCCTCTTTAATTAAGAACACATTAAATCTTCACACTTTAGACAACATTTTCCTGAATGGGGAGAGAGAAGAATGAAGTCAACTTTAATTTCTGCCATAAATTTACTTTCCGACAGAACTGACTGATCCGCTGCCTTTGTTGACTGACACACGTAGCGCAGATCACGGCCCTCCGTTGCAAGTCCCGGTTTTGTCACAGGCTGAGGAAGTTGCCTTCTCCCTGCCTTCTAAACATGACGATAGCTTAATGAAGGAGCTGTTACAAAGGTTTAAAAAAAGATTTGATCAGACCATCCAGTCTTCTGCCAGTGAAGATGGGGGTGTTGGTAATGCATCCTGATGTTTTCATAAATAGGCACGCTGGACCAAAGTATCCCCCGCTGCTGTAGAAATTTGCTTTGCATATTAGGCTGAATTATTTAATGCCCAGCACTGCTTTCCTCAACGGACTGAAAACCAAGGTAAGCCCTGTCCTTTTGCCTAAAAACAGGGTAAAAATAACATGGTTTAGTCCTAAACGTGTCACAGATGCCTTTGCCATTGCGTGCAAACACCCTGTACCTAAACGGCATTATAAGCAACAGAAGTTCTGCTTTCCCCTCGGTGACCTGGGGTTTGACTCAGGCTGCCCGATCTTACGGACCGTCTAAATGAATATTTCTTGTTCAAAATCATTTACCAGATCTGGGGACCAGAACATAGGCACAATTGTGACCGTTTGGCAGAGGCAAATCTGCTTCTGCCTGGAGCAAGATGCAGAGGGAAGAAGACATTTTGTGTGGCTACCTGCAAAGCTGGCTGCGGTTGATTGCTGGTTAATAAATCTCAGATCCTCCCAATTCGTAACTGGGCAAAGTGGCAGTTCAGTTCCTTTTTTCCCTCCCCTCCCATCAAAGAAGGTCCACTGATGTCACTGATGCTAGGATCACGCCCAGTTCCAGAACCCCCTGAAGGGCTGGGGGTCTGGTCCAAAGCTGGGCCCCACTTTTTTGCAGGTCCAAGGACTTGAAAAACAAACATAACCCCTCAAGAACTCTTGGCGTGGCCATTTCCCCTGTAGGAATTAAGCTTCAGGTATGAATTAACATTTCGGCCCGAGAGGTGGTTTAAGACAGTCTTTTTCAAACTTGGCCACTTTAAGATGTGTGGACTTCAGCTCCCAGAATTCCCCAGCCAGCACGCCAAGTTGAAGTCCAGACGCTGGCTGGAGAATTCTGGGAGGTTGCTGAGGTTGAGAAACCCTGGTCTGAGACCCAGCAGGGCAGCAGCTGGGGATGGAGGACGACCCTCCCCGTCCTGGCAGGGCCTCTTAGGATCCGTGGTCCAGCCACGTCCCTGCGGGCTCCCCTGCCCGATCACCGGGTGGGGGGCTGCTCCAGCCGCCCAAGAGGACCCCCGCTCAAGGCGCCCCGGGCAGGAGGGAGGAGGCGTCCACCGCCGTGAAGGCGATCCCGGGCGGATG